TCTCTCTCTCTCTCTCTCTCTCTCTCTCTCTCTCTCTCTCTCTCTCTCTCTCTCTCTCTCTCTCTCTCTCTCTCTCTCTCTCTCTCTCTCTCTCTCTCTCTCTCTCTCTCTCTCTCTCTCTCTCTCTCTCTCTCTCTCTCTCTCTCTCTGTCTGGTGTGCGAGCAGGTGTGTGCTGTGTGCGTGGATGAGTGTGCGAGTATCAATTTAATGAATGAAAGAAGTGAGTAAATGTAAGTAAGTTTTGTCAGTTTCGAATATGTTTTCTTGTATTGTACTATGTAATGTGTTTCATGTCGAGGAGAGCAACTAGTAGCCCCAGGGCTGTTTGTAATCCTCTTTAAACAAATTAAGAATTAAATTAAATAAATTATAATAGTTACAAATAAAAATGACGCCCAGATATACGAAAAACGTCGATGGTTAATATTACCTACTCTAAATTGACTAAAACATCTGAGGAAATTCGATTGAGAAATATGTCTTTTTGCCACATATTGTACAGTCCGAGACCTGGATCAGTCGTCTCTCACACATATTGTAAAGTCTGAGACCTGGATCAGTCGTCTCTCACACATATTGTACAGTCTGAGACCTCGATCAGTCGTCTCTCACACATATTGTAAAGTCTGAGACCTCGATCAGTCCTCTCTCACACATATTGTACAGTTTGAGACCTCTATCAGTCCTCTCTCACACATATTGTACAGTCTGAGACCTGGATCAGTCCTCTCTCACACATATTGTACAGTCTGAGACCTGGATCAGTCGTCTCTCACACATATTGTACAGTCTGAGACCTGGATCAGTCGTCTCTCACACATATTGTAAAGTCTGAGACCTCGATCAGTCCTCTCTCACACATATTGTACAGTTTGAGACCTCTATCAGTCCTCTCTCACACATATTGTACAGTCTGAGACCTGGATCAGTCCTCTCTCACACATATTGTACAGTCTGAGACCTCGATCAGTCCTCTCTCACACATATTGTACAGTTTGAGACCTCTATCAGTCCTCTCTCACACATATTGTACAGTCTGAGACCTGGATCAGTCCTCTCTCACACATATTGTACAGTCTGAGACCTGGATCAGTCGTCTCTCACACATATTGTACAGTCTGAGACCTGGATCAGTCGTCTCTCACACATATTGTACAGTCCGAGACCTCTATCAGTCGTCTCTCACACATACTGTACAGTCCGAGACCTGGATCAGTCGTCTCTCACACATATTGTACAGTCTGAGACCTGGATCAGTCGTCTCTCACACATATTGTACAGTCTGAGACCTCGATCAGTCCTCTCTCACACATATTGTACAGTCTGAGACCTGGATCAGTCCTCTCTCACACATATTGTACAGTCTGAGACCTCGATCAGTCGTCTCTCACACACACTGTACAGTCTGAGACCTCGATCAGTCTTCTCTCACACATATTGTACATCCTGAGACCTCGATCAGTCCTCTCTCACACATATCGTACAGTCTGAGACCTCGATCAGTCGACTCTCACACATATTGTACAGTCTGAGACCTGGATCAGTCGTCTCTCACACATATTGTACAGTCTGAGACCTGGATCAGTCCTCTCTCACACATATTGTAAAGTCTGAGACTTCGATCAGTCGTCTCTCACACATATTGTACAGCCTGAGACCTCGATCAGTCGTCTCTCACACATATTGTACAGCCTGAGACCTCGATCAGTCCTCTCTCACACATATTGTACAGTCTGAGACCTTGATCAGTCCTCTTTCATTAATATTGTAAAGTCTGAGACCTGGATCAGTCGTCTCTCACACATGTTGTACAGTCTGAGACCTGGATCAGTCCTCTCTCACACATATTGTACAGTCTGAGACCTCTATCAGTCGTCTCTCTCACATATTGTACAATCCGATACCTCTATCAGTCGTCTCTTACACATATTGTACAGTCTGAGACCTAGATCAGTCGTCTCTCACACATATTGTACAGTCTGAGACCTCGATCAGTCGTCTCTCACACATATTGTACAGTCTGAGACCTTGATGAGTCCTCTTTCACTAATATTGTACAGTCTGAGACCTGGATCAGTCGTCTCTCACACATGTTGTACAGTCTGAGACCTGGATCAGTCCTCTCTCACACATATTGTACAGTCTGAGACCTTGATGAGTCCTCTTTCACTAATATTGTACAGTCTGAGACCTGGATCAGTCGTCTCTCACACATGTTGTACAGTCTGAGACCTGGATCAGTCCTCTCTCACACATATTGTACAGTCTGAGACCTCTATCAGTCGTCTCTCCCACATATTGTACAATCCGATACCTCTATCAGTCGTCCCTTACACATATTGTACAGTTTGAGACCTGGATCAGTCGTCTCTCACACATGTTGTACAGTCTGAGACCTGGATCAGTCCTATCTCACACATATTGTACAGTCTGAAACCTTGATCAGTCCTCTTTCACTAATATTGTACAGTCTGAGACCTGGATCAGTCGTCTCTCACGCATGTTGTACAGTCTGAGACCTGGATCAGTCCTCTCTCACACATATTGTACAGTCTGAGACCTCTATCAGTCGTCTCTCTCTCACATATTGTACAGTCCGAGACCTCTATCAGTCGTCTCTTACACATATTGTACAGTTTGAGACCTGGATCAGTCGTCTCTCACACATGTTGTACAGTCTGAGACCTGGATCAGTCCTATCTCACACATATTGTACAGTCCGAAACCTTGATCAGTCGTCTCTCACACATGTTGTACAGTCCGAGACCTGGATCAGTCGTCTCTCACACATATTGTACAGTCCGAAACCTCTATCAGTCGTCTCTCACATATATTGTACAGTCCGAAACCTCTATCAGTCCTCTCTCACACATGTTGTACAGTCTGAGACCTTGATCAGTCCTCTCTCACACATATTGTAAAGTCTGAGACCTTGATCAGTCATCTCTCACACATACTGTACAGTCTGAGACCTGGATCAGTCCTATCTCACACATATTGTACAGTCCGAAACCTTGATCAGTCGTCTCTCACACATGTTGTACAGTCTGAGACCTTGATCAGTCCTCTCTCACACATATTGTACAGTCCGAGACCTCGATCAGTCCTCTCTCACACATATTGTACAGCCTGAGACCTCGATCAGTCCTCTCTCACACATATTGTACAGTCTGAGACCTAGATCAGTCGTCTCTCACACATATTGTACAGTCTGAGACCTCGATCAGTCGTCTCTCACACATATTGTACAGTCTGAGACCTCGTATCAGACCTCAGTCTCTCACACATATTGTACAGTCTGAGACCTTGATCAGTCCTCTCTCACACATATTGTACAGTCTGAGACCTGGATCAGTCGTCTCTCACACATGTTGTACAGTCTGAGACCTGGATCAGTCCTCTCTCACACATATTGTACAGTCTGAGACCTTGATCAGTCCTCTCTCACACATATTGTACAGTCTGAGACCTCGATCAGTCCTCTCTCACACATATTGTACAGTCTGAGACCTGGATCAGTCCTCTCTCACACATATTGTACAGTCTGAGACCTGGATCAGTCCTCTCTCACACATATTGTACAGTCTGAGACCTCGATCAGTCCTCTCTCACACATACTGTACAGTCTGAGACCTGGATCAGTCGTCTCTCACACATATTGTACAGTCCGAGACCTCGATCAGTCCTCTCTCACTAATATTGTACAGCCTGAGACCTCGATCAGTCCTCTCTCACACATATTGTACAGTCCGAGACCTCGATCAGTCCTCTCTCACTAATATTGTACAGCTTGAGACCTCGATCAGTCCTCTCTCACACATATTGTACAGTTTGAGACCTCTATCAGTCCTCTCACACACATATTGTACAGTCTGAGACCTGGATCAGTCCTCTCTCACACATATTGTACAGTCTGAGACCTGGATCAGTCGTCTCTCACACATATTGTACAGTCCGAGACCTCTATCATTTCTCTCTCACACATATTGTACAGTCCGAGACCTCGATCAGTCCTCTCTCACTAATATTGTACAGCCTGAGACCTCGATCAGTCCTCTCTCACACATATTGTACAGTCCGAGACCTCGATCAGTCCTCTCTCACTAATATTGTACAGCCTGAGACCTCGATCAGTCCTCTCTCACACATATTGTACAGTCCGAGACCTCGATCAGTCCTCTCTCACACATATTGTAAAGTCTGAGACCTCGATCAGTCCTCTCTCACACATATTGTACAGTCTGAGACCTTGATCAGTCGTCTCTCACACATATTGTAAAGTCTGAGACCTGGATCAGTCGTCTCTCACACATATTGTACAGCCTGAGACCTCTATCATTTCTCTCTCACACATATTGTACAGTCCGAAACCTTGATCAGTCGTCTCTCACACATATTGTACAGTCTGAGACCTCGATCAGTCGTCTCTCACACATATTGTACAGTTTGAGACCTGGATCAGTCGTCTCTCACACATATTGTACAGTCTGAGACCTCGATCAGTCCTCTCCCACACATATTGTACAGTCTGAGACCTGGATCAGTCGTCTCTCACACATATTGTACAGTCTGAGACCTTGATCAGTCCTCTCTCACACATATTGTACAGTCTGAGACCTGGATCAGTCGTCTCTCACACATATTGTACAGTCTGAGACCTTGATCAGTCCTCTCCCACTAGTATTGTACAGTCTGAGACCTGGATCAGTCCTCTCTCACACATATTGTACAGTCTGAGACCTTGATCAGTCCTCTCTCACACATATTGTACAGTCTGAGACCTGGATCAGTCGTCTCTCACACATATTGCACAGTCTGAGACCTTGATCAGTCCTCTCCCACTATTATTGTACAGTCTGAGACCTGGATCAGTCCTCTCTCACACATATTGTACAGTCCGAGACCTCTATCAGTCCTCTCTCACACACACTGTACAGTATTTGATTTCTATCCGTAATATAAAAAGTATTAAATAACGTACATTTCAGTCAATTATCAACTATTCATTTCTAAAATCGTCATATTTTGGCATTGATTTCAATTTAAGAGATTTTGAAATGTTTCGGATGTCACGAATGTTCAAACTTTTGAAACCATATTTTGCATAAAGATGTTGGCATTTTTCATCCACTATTTTAATTACTGATTCTTTAGTTTTTTTTCGCCATATTGAAGAGATCACAGTGGAATTGACACCCTTTCTAGTTTTAGACGAGAGTCGAATAACTTCTTTCTCTATATATTCAGTGAAATTCATGCCGGAGAATTCGTAAAGTTGTTTGGTGTATTTCACAGTGTCTTGTACTAAATCTTCATATTCAACTGTCATAATCCGTGCTGGATAATTTTTCTCCATGTAATGCCTCATAACGATGTCTTCATAGACACGGTTACAAAATTTCAGAACGGCAGGTTCGATATCTTTTATAGAAAATCGAACAGCATTTATTTGAGAGGAGACAGTCGCTCTGGGGTCTCTAATCAAATGAATAATTTTCATGGATGGGATTTCCCGTAGGAGAGACTCTAAAGAATAAAGAGGTAAACGTATTATTTTCGCAACTAAAAATTTGGATTTCTTACATGCTTGGGAAACAACATGTGAACAGAGTAGTCCTTTTTGTAGATTTGTTTCGAGCTTTGTTCTGTTGAGGCAAGAACTGAACTTTGGCGAGGAAAAGAACCCATCAAGATAAAAGGACAGGGGTAGTTTTTCCATCATGCACCTCGATAGATTGCCAACAGTCTCCACAGATAGCTCTATGAAGTTCGTGCAGTTTCTGAAATATTGAAAATGTGAAAAAATTTAAACCCAGACAATACAAAGTCGGAATAAAAAGACAAAAAAACAGAACGCCTTTGGAAATTAAAAGGTTAAAAAATACTCAGTTCTATATCTCCATGGCAAAAAACTTTTCTTGTATTTTATATAACTACGAACATTTTTAAAAACAACCTTCAGATCGTCATATTTTAATGTAATTAAGTCTAACCACAGGAATATACTTTTATAATGAAATAGTTTACATTAATATGACTACATAAACGAATATCTGAAAGATTAACAAACAAAAAGTTTAATTAAATTTATCAAATACTAAATAAATCAAAGCTTTTATATTCAAAATACATTTAGTATATAACCTTAATCTTTGTATGGATCAGTTGTAGTGTGTACATGTTTGTATGTGACGCCTATTTATGTGAAAAAAAAAACGAAAAAAAACCCAGTTATAATGTGTAACATTTAGTGATCAGTAAGTGACCTGTAGTAGTTCATAGTTTAAACAAGGGAATATCAATAAAAAAGAGTACATTAATATCAATGAGGTAATGGTCTTAATAAATCAAATTAAATGTGTGTATGTAAATGATTTAATCTATAAACATCAAGGAGTTACCTCCCCTTAACTATATCACATTAATGTATATTCGTCTGTTTCTTACCATCCTCTGCCTTTACACACTGTTTCACAATAAGGAAAGCACTAAGATAGGTTTGAATTGAAAATGTAATTGAAGCAAAAGAAAGTTGGTACCCAATAAATGTGGAACGCTGAGCTTCATGAAGCATCCCGAAATACCTCTCAAGTATATGTTACTACATTCATATGAATATATTGCCTTTTAAACAGATACAGAGAATAGGTCAGAGGTCATTTCAAATATTTTTGTTGTGTACATGTAGAAAGCTTTTCATGTCTATATATCGAACAAAAAAAAAAAAAAAAAAAAAACAAAAAAAAAAAAAAAAAAACGGCATTACCTCATTGTCCCGTCGAAGTAGAGTATAGACTTATTTTGCCTGACGTCGAACTGAAGCTTGTGAAGAGGTTCAAAAGAGTAGAATGTTTCTGGATTAGCTTTGAGTAGATCCCCAACGAAGGAAGATCCGCTACGCATGTACGTTACCAAGAGTATTGGTATCGGCCCTGAAACTAAAATAGCATTTCAGTAAAACACATTATAGAATCACTATGATATATAGATTTAATTTAACAACATAGAAACATAGATGATATCGTTGTAGGTGATAAGATTGTACGGAAAACACAAAATAAAGGGGTGTATCAATGACAAAGTAACCAGAATGATGAACACACCAGTGTAATACTTCTTTATCAAAGGTATTATATTCTAAATAATCAATTTCACTGCAGTTTAACAACTTTATGAATGATGCCGGTGACATGAAAATCTACAGGCCGAGGTAGGAAACATAAAACTGTGGAAATATATGTTTAAATATAAATTTGGAGGTGTACAAGCCATTACTGACACCATCAATAGTTTTTAAATGAATGACAAGAACACTGTTGTAATTCATGAGAAACGTCTGTTGACACAGGATTTCCGCTATAACCATTACACTATTACATACACGTATGATAAGTGAATAAACCAACCATCTGTAGGAATAGCTGTTGGATCCTTCCGGTCAATATCTTTTTCTTCATCCGCACCAACAATCCCCATGTCTTTTCTTGGCACATATAAGTAATCATTTCGTATTTGGATGTCACAGCACCGCTGTCTTTCAGTCTCTGTTAGGTAACCTAAAATTACATTTATTAGTTAATGTTACAAGTAAAATGACGAAACTATAGTAAGTATCATTGATGGGAAACATTTAAATCCTAAATGTCTTTTAACGTCCATTCTTGTTTCTCGCTTATCCTTAATGGTATAGACACGAATGAAGCGTATTCTCTAACGCCCCGTGTTCAGTTGCTGAGTTTGTTTATTCACTCTATCTGACATCAATCCTAATCCTTACACAAATAGAATGCTTTCTGAAACCATCAGATTATTAGATTCCAAGCCAAATTTTTGTTTAGACCTGCGTATTTTCGCTTGTTTTCGTCAGAGTAAGAATTCTAATTCTTCACTAATATGAAATTAAGGTATCATCAAAGTTATTAAACCAGAGACCTGAATAGTTTGTAAGCGATCCCAGTGAGACACATAAGATAAAGTATAGATATAACTTGAGACATGAATAGTTTGTAAGCGATCCCAGTGAGACACTTAAGAGAGAGTATAGATATAACCTGAGACCTGAATAGTTTGTAAGCGATCCCAGTGAGACACTTAAGATAAAGTATAGATATAACCTGACACCTGAACAGTTTGTAAGCGATCCCAGTGAGACACTTAAGATAGAGTATAGATATAACCTGAGACCTGAACAGTTGGCTAGCGATCCCAGTGAGACACTTAAGATAAAGTATATGTATAACCTGAGACCTGAACAGTTGGCTAGCGATCCCAGTGAGACACTTAAGATAAAGTATAGATATAACCTGAGACCTGAACAGTTTGTAAGCGATCCCATTGAGACACTTAAGATAAAGTATAGATATAACCTGAGACCTGAATAGTTGGCTAGCGATCCCAGTGAGACACTTAAGATAAAGTATAGATATAACCTTAGACATGAATAACTCTCCATGTAGATGTCTGATTTCAATGTCTTATCATAAAACTCGGTAAGTGCAAAGTTCATATATTATGTTAAAAATGATGTTAAAAATACTCGCCTTTACTTTATCTATATCAGCAGACCGAAAATGTAGAGAATTTCAGTAATGAAAGGTAAGCCAAACAAACACAAAATGTTAGTCATGTAATCGCCTCACCGACAATCTTAAAATGGTGCAAGTCAATGGGGTATAATGACTCTTTATAGGTGAATACTCAAGGTCTTGTTTGTTTGCTTAACTGTTGATTTACCACCAGTGATGTCAGTCGTTGGATAATTCACATCTCTGTATGTTTAAACAGGTTGTCTTTCATTGACTGATATCGTCTGAACACATTTAAAATTCACGTTGTAAATAATTTTCTTGTTCTGGTCGATTTAAGTACAGTTGACGACAGAAGAAACAGACGCTAATTATCATACATAATCTTCCTGAACACTAAATATAAGATTTTATCCGTTATATATGAATGATGCTCGTTTACCGGTAGGAACCTTATATCGATTTACTGTCGAATGAAATAGAACAGGTGTTATCTGTAACAAATAAATACACGTATGATATACATCTTTGTAACACGCTAAAACATGACAAAACAGCCAGGATCATTTACAGACAGGCTCTATAAATGACACTTCATCTTGTCATGTTAAAATCATTGATAAATTTTAACAGGTCCTTATGCAGCATATAGGAAGCATGACGTACCATTTTATAATTAACCTTTAACCTTCCAGTCTTAGATCTTAGCTCAGACTGAGTCAAAATGAATCCATGTGGAGTAAGATATTGGGAAGTAACATATCTCTATGTGATAAAAGACAAAAATCTTAGGATCATGCAATGTGTAAACAGATACCACTCGAACACCACCCGTACTTTAACAGGCTGGGTTTTATCAAGGCGGCAGGAAACAGGAATAATAACATATCAATAAAATATATCAGTCGGAGGGAGGGAGCTAGGTAGGGACAATGGCAATAGAGATCATAGTTTTATCACTGACGTTTGTCATAACCCGGCATTATTACGTCTGCATTGTTATGCACTGTTCACAATACATTCATTCGCCTCACGTCCTTGCGAAATAATCCAGTATTTGAATATTGAAGAAAAGTACTGAATATGAGGATTAGGGCTCCTCTCCATCTGTATTTTGACATTTTTTTCAGCCGATTTCGATTCCTTTGACACACCAATTACATATCCACATGTCTCTGCAACAGTGGCGAACATGCAACAGCTGCATGGTGTCTTTTGGTTAATCATTAGCCGTATAAAGCCAATTATTATTTGTATGCAAAGGTGCCATTCACTGGCGTGTCTGGTGTGCAGGCCTTAACACAATACCAATATAACAATAAAATACAATCAATGAATAAATCCTATTAAGAAATAACTCATGTTGCTGATTGCACGTGCTGTGAGAGTAGATCACTAATTCAACCTCAGGCCAACATAAGAAAGCCGTTGTTTGACATTAATGCAATGCTAGCTGCGCTAATGAGATAATTTTTGTTTAGTATTGAGTTGAAGTGATAAAGTGTCATTAATTAATACAGACTACCTTTGTTATGAGGATATTTTGTATCCATTTTGTTAGTCATTTAATGCATGAATCAGAATATACACACAGATTATACTGAAATCATTGCAGTATGGAAAACATGGGATTTCTTAATTGTGCCTTTACATTTCGGCCAACATCAATTCCCGCATTTCCCTGAACAATTTAAGGCCCTTAGCATCACTGAAGAGTCCTAGGAGGGCGAATCAGGTATATAATTAAATGTAATTCAGTGTTTGGTTGTACTCTGTCTAATGTAAAATTTGTATTGAAATGTGATGTTCATGCTAATTTATGTTAATGTTGTCTAGAAACTCATCAACGTATTCCTACAAAATATACATTGTAAGAAATAGCTGAATCGATGACGTCACTAGAACAGATTAATGACGAGAGTTGCATAATTATAAGTCAAATCCTTATAGTATAAAACATAGAGACAAAAACGAATATCTATAAATACATACACGTGTAAGATGTTTAACTTGTAACAACAGTAAAACCGAACGTTATCCGATGTCCTATCATGGAACCCAGCAACTCGTCTTTTAATGATGCAGTTACATTATGTGAATGGGAGAGGGTATCCTTATTGTGAATGAGAGTGGGTATCCTGATTGTGAATGAGAGTGGGTATCCTTATTGTGAATGAGAGTGGGTATCCTGATTGTGAATGAGAGTGGGTATCCTTAATGTGAATGAGAGTGGGTATCCTTATTGTGAATGAGAGTGGGTATCCTGATTGTGAATGAGAGTGGGTATCCTGATTGTGAATGAGAGTGGGTATCCTGATTGTGAATGAGAGTGGGTATCCTTAATGTGAATGAGAGTGGGTATCCTGATTGTGAATGAGAGTGGGTATCCTTATTGTGAATGAGAGTGGGTATCCTTATTGTGAATGAGAGTGGGTATCCTTATTGTGAATGAGAGTGGGTATCCTTATTGTGAATGAGAGTGGGTATCCTGATTGTGAATGAGAGTGGGTATCCCTAATGTGAATGAGAGAGGGTATCCTTATTGTGAATGAGAGTGGGTATCCTTATTGTGAATGAGAGTGGGTATCCTGATTACAATGTTATTACTAAGTACTGCAGGTTGTTGTTGTTGTATTCCTGAGTTTAGACCATATTTCTGGCATCCATACGAGAGTTTCGTGCCATTTTGCACCAAACCTTCATTATGATGTCAAGGGCGATACACGTCAACTATATCCGTGTATAGGAGACCTGTACCCGTTAGTAAGTAAATTAAGATATAAGGGATGTCTTCTTAACGGTAAAATAACGACATCAATGGTGATACGGTCTCTGTCGTTTTTATAATGCATTCTAAACAGAGGTCAAAAATTGCTTATAAACTTAACAAGGCTATGAGATAACTGAACAAAAAGGCAAACGTGTGATTTAATTCAATCTTACCTTTTATCGATGTAGCTACGGCAGTAAACAGTAGAATTATGCCTGTAACTTTCACATAAAACTTAAAAGTTTTGATATTCCGCATATTAGGCATCCGATATTTCATTGATTTCATTAATTAAAATCATCAGCACTACGTCTTGTTAACAGTTATAAAATTCCGAATTAAAAGAAAATATTTCCTGTACCAATGCCGAAAATATAAGCTTGAGTCGAGCACGTCTGCAGTAAGGAAATTTAAAAAGACAAATTCCTCTCTGGGTAGCACACGCAAGGACGTAGAATGCATAGGTAGAAGTACAATAGTTCCATACTTATATTTCATATCATAAAAGTACAGAAACTTACCATATCTCAATCATTATAGTCTGTTTCACAATTATATCTGAAGTCAAGAAAGAATAGAACAGAATCAACATCATCGTCGATGTTACAACTGACCTATTTGTTCATATAGTTATATCGTATTTCATAATTGTATCGAGAATCCATTCATGACACTGCCATTGGCTTGTATTGTATGTTGGTCTCATTGTTGTTTTTTTTTTAATCTCTTACCTGTGTGTGTTAACTTTAAAGAGCTATGCATTTTGTAGCAAACACAAAAGGCGATAAATTTGTCGAATCACGTTCTTCCACTTTATTCTCAGGACTAACATAAAAAACAAATATAATATCCGGATTGGCGGAGATTGTAATTTTAGAAAAAAAAAATTGTACCAAATATCCGGAATTTAAACTATATATAATAAATATTGTCAAATTAAATAAATTGAATTTGATGAGCTATTTATGCATTTTCCATGTCTGCTTAACAGGAATACAATAATTTGAGTTTTTTTGACAATCTGGAAAATGACACTATGTGGTTTAAATCAACCATTAAATTAAGGATATTGTACCCAAACATGTACATACACAAGGATACACCGCCCTTTTCGCGCCAAAAAAGGCAGAATAAAATATGGTTTTGGGGAAAATGTTGCAATGTCATCTTTTTAAAACGAA